TATTCCCACCAGCAAAGAATGAGAGTTCCTATTGCTCCACTTCCCTGTTAACATTTGGTGTTGTCAGTGTTTTAAATTTTGGCCACAGAATGGCCAAATAGACATGTAATGGTACATTATTGTTTTAATTTGCATTTCCCTACTGACATGTGATGTTGAGCATCTTTTCATATGCTTATTTGTTTTTCATATGTGTTGATGGTGTCTGGTGTCCAGGTCATTTGCTCACATTTTAATTGGGTTATTTTCTTATTGTTGAGTTTTAAGAGTAGTTTGTAGAGTTTGGATAACCGTCCTTTGTTAGATATGTCTTCGGCAAATATTTTCCCCTAGTCTGTGGCTTGTCTTCTCATTTACTTGACAGTATATTTTGCAGAGCAGAAGTTTTCTGTTTTAATGAAGTTCAAGTTATTATTTCTTTCATGGATCATGCCTTTGGTGTTGTATCTAAAATGACATCAACGTACCCAAAGTCATGTAAATTTTCTCTTACATTATCTTCCAGGAATAATAGTTATGCATTTTGGTCTATGATCCATTTTGAATTAATTTTTGTGAAGGGTGTCTGTGTTTAGACTCATTTTTTTTTTTTTGGCATACAGATGTCCAGTCATTCCAACACCACTTGTGTGTATGTCTTTTCTCCATTGTGTTGCCTTTGCTCGTCTGTCAAAGATCAGTCATGTGGGTATATCTCTCGCCTATGGTCCATGGATCTATATGTCCATTCTTTTGCCAATACCACATTGCCTCGATTACTGTAGCTTTATATAGTAAGCCTTGTAGTCAAGTACTGTCAGTCCTCAATGCTCTTCTCCTTTAATATTATGTTGGCTATTGGGCATTTTGCCTCTCTACATAAACTTTAAAATCTGTTTGTGTATATCCACAAAAAACTTGCTGGGATTTTGATTGGCATTGCATTGAACCTATAGGTCAAGTTGGGAAGAACCGATATCTTGACAATACTGAGTCTTCCTATCTATGAACATGGAGTATCTCTCCATTTACTTAGTTAAGTTGTGAGTTCTTTCAGCAGAATTTTGTAGTTTTCCCCATATGGATATTTTGTTAGATTTATACCTAAGTGTTTTTCTTTTTTGGGTGCTAATGTAAAAGGTAATGTGTGTTTGAAATATCAAATTCCAGGGAATTCCCTGGCGGTCCAGTGGTTAGGACTCTGTGCTCTTACTGCTGAGGGCCTGGGTTCAATCCCTGGTTGGGGAACTAAGATCCCACAAGCCATGCAGTGTGGCCCCCCCCCCCCCCCCCAAAAATCAAATTCCACTTGCTTATTGCTGGTTTATAGGAAAGTGATTAGCTTTTGTATATTCAACTTGTATCCTGCAACTTTGATATAATTGTTTATTAGTATCAGAAGGGTGTTTTTTGTTAATTGTTTCAGATTTTCTACAGAGACACTCATTCTAATGGCTTTTTAGCTATACCTCTTTGCACCATTTTTTTTTAGTGATTGCTCTAGGCTTTAAAATATATATACCCTTAATCTTTTACAGTGTACCTAGGGTTAATACCTTACCACTTCATATAAAATGTACAGCTCCATTCATCCTCAAGATCACTTATTCTATAGTTACTATATTATATTGATACATCTAAATTCATTACAAAGCACAGAAGACAATGTTATAATTTTTTCATTAAACAGTCATGTGTTTTTTTAAAAAAATTAAGAGGACTGTAAGTCATTTATATGTATATATCTAGGTATTTACAATTTCCTATACTCTCATTCCTTCCTAAAGATTTGAGTTTCCCTCTATTACCATTTTACTTCAGCCTGAGGTGTTTCCTTTAGTATTTCTAACAGCATAGGTTGGCTGGTAACAAATTCTTCTAATTTTCTCTTATGTCATAACACGTTTATTTTGCCTTTGAAGGATATTTTTGCTGGATATAGAAATCTATGTTAATTTTTTCCTTCCTGAACCTAAAAAAATATTGTTCTAATATCTTCTGACCTTCATTTTTTTTTTGACAGGAAGTCAGCAGTCATTTGATTCACTGTTTACATGTCTATACCATATTTTTCCTGTGGCAGATTAAAAATCTGTCTGCATATTTTTTGATACTCCTTACTTCAAAAGAAGGAGCCTAATTCCCCTCCACTTAAATGGGGTCCAGACTCAGATACTTGATTCTAATAAACAGAATGTGGTGATGCCGTGTGACTTCCAAGACTAGATCATAAAAATATGGTTCAGAACACATATAAAGAGCTTCCATCTGGCTGTCTCTCTCTCTCTCTCTCTCTCTCTCTGTCTTGTTCTGAGGTAGGCTGGCCACTACATCATGAGGGCACTCAAGCAGTCCTGGTAAAGGGTCCACATGGAGAGAAACTAAGGCTTCCCACCAAACACCAGCACCAATTTGCCAGCTATGTGAATGGCCCACCTTGCAAGCAGACCCTCCAGCTCCAATCACATGCAGCTTCGGATAATATTTGACTACAATGTCATGAAAGTCCCAGATGATAATCTAAGCTGTTCCCAAACTCTTGTCCACAGAAAAGGTAAGAAATGATATTTATTGTTGTTTTAAGCCACTAAATTTGGGGATAATTTGTTATGTAGCAATGGATAACTAATACATTTCCTAACGCAAATGTCTCTGCATATTATATTCACTCTGATTCACCAATGCTTCCATTCATTTTACTCGTATAAAAGAAAAAAAATTGTAAAATTCAAGATGCACCATGGCTGAAAAAATTGATCTATGGAAAATAATTAATTTGTGATAAAACCAATCTATTCTAAAACACCATTTTGTCTTACTGGTTTACTTTCACAGCCTGAGCACTCTGTATAATACTTGGTATATAAATAAGATGTTAAATAACTACTGCTGAATGAATGAATGAATTTGTTCTTTCAGGCTTTAAGCTTCTGGAGGGCAATAATTGTGCTTTATTCACCTTTTTATCTCCCTTACATGGGACAGTGCTTAAATGAACATGCACCGTTCACTGTTTGTTGAATTAAATCAAACTTAACTGAAATTCTTGTTGAAGAAAATGATCTGGAAACAGAAGTGAAAAATCACGGCAGAAAACTAATTTTAAATATTTCTGGACCTCCCTGGTGGTGCAGTGGTTAAGAATCCGCCTGCCAATGCAGGGGACATGAGTTCGAGCCCTGGTCCGGGAAGATCCCACATGCCGCGGAGCAACTAAGCCCGAGCGCCACAACTGCTGAGCCTGTGCTCTAGAGCCCGCGAGCCACAACTACTGAGCCCATGTGCCACAACTACTGAAGCCCGCGCGCCTAGAGCCCATGCTCCGCAACAAAAGCCACCGCAATGAGAAGCCAATGCACCGCAACGAAGAGTAGCCTCCGCTCGCCGCAACTAGAGAAAGCCTGTGTGCAGCAACAAAGACCCAATGCAGCCAAAAATAAATAAATAAATTTATATATAAAAAAATATTTCTACTGCACATTGACTGGTGCTGGTTTTCAAGCCCCACCACCTATCACATATATGCATAAAAACCACAAATTTAAAAAACTTAAATATTTATATTGTTAGTTCCTAGTAGACCATATGGATTTTCATAATTTCCACCAATAGAACACATCTTCAAATGTTTCTAGAGAATCTTTGTGACAAATACACAATGATAGGCATATGACTGTGCTTAGGTTGTAAACTATTGTAAGGGGGCAGAGTGAATTCGGCAGATTATCGGCAGAATTGGTAACCTGCACTGCTCCTTATCCAGTTGAGCCTTAAGCCATTTCCGTAGAGTTGAATTTTATGAGCACAGGGAATGTGAACATTCAGTCACACAACTGAGCAACTTCTTTTCCTCTTTGGGAGGTAGTGTGTACCCAAGGTGTGTCTCAGTGGTTCAGAGCACAAGCCAGTCTTCCTAGGTGCAAATCCCAGGCCCACCATTTACCAGTTTTGTGATCTTTGCCTTACAGCTTAACATCTGCCTTAGTTTCCTCACCTGTTAAATACAGAAACTAATAGTACCTTCCTCACAGGGTTATTGTGAAGATAAAATGGGTTAATATATGAAAAGTGCCTGATACACAGGAAACACTAATCACAATTAGCTCTTACTGCCCTCAATACCAATCAGGGACTTGGAACATTGCAGGTGACTTGTAAATCATTATTAAATGAATGATTAATTCTGGGAGTACTGTATGGACATCTCTGCCCCCTTTCTGGATGGGGGGGGGTAGGTATTTGCATTCTATGATCACACAAAAATTTTGATTGTTTATTCCTTTTTAGAAATTCTCGATTAGATCCAAAAGAGGCAGCTGATTCTGTTCATTGATAAAGGATATACAAGTAATACTGGCACCTGATTACACTGAGTTGGGAATTAGAAAATAACACACTCTGGAGTAAGAGGCATTTTTATTTTTCATTTTAACCCCTTCACAATGTGAAAGTGGCAGAAGGGTGTCAAGTATAGAAAAAAACACGGAGTTTCAGAATCGAAGTGTCTTCTGCATTGTTGGGCTTGTGGAAAGATCATTCTAAGTTTCAAACAGGGCCCAGCTTCTCCCACTTGACTGTGGGCAACGCCTGGGATTGGTACGAGGCCTAATCAGACTTTATATCCACAACACCTGTCACAGTGCCTCAGTCGGTAGAAAGCCAGAGAAAAATATTTTACAGGGCTGAAATATTAATACTCGAGGCAACCAGGGCCTCAAACTTTCCATCCGTACCTCAACTTCCACCTACTTGGATGGACCCAAGTCTTCCCTTAGAACGACATTCCAAGGAGCAAGAAAAAGGGGGCCAGTTGAAACCTCTTCTCGGAGTTATGGGAACCACTTCCTTCGTCTGTTGCTAAGGAGGGAAGAAGGACAGAGAGATGAGGCTGGGGGAAAGGAGCGCCTCTGCACAGCGGAGCAATAGCCCCGTCCCACTTGGCAGTGGTCCCGCCGGTTCCATGAGTTACCCCGCCCCCAATCTCACCCGCCCTCATCTCGCACTTGGAAACAAACCCTTAGCAATACAAGCCTGGAAGCCTGGAACCCGGCGTCTCCGAGATGTCCCTGGGGGACTCCAGCCGCCGCAGAGAGGGAACTTCCCGGGGGCCCCACGGCATCCTAGTTGGCGCCGGGCTCAGGCCCTCAACCCTGCCTCCCTCACGAGGCTTTCCCGGAGGCGGCGAGAGCGTGGCCGGCCCGGAGGAGGCCCCAGCCGCCAGCCCGCTGCTAGAAGACCTCAGGCGGCGGCTGGCGAGCGCCTTCCAGCGGGCGACGCCGCGCGGCGTCTCGAGGCGCTCGCGGGAGGAGGCGGCGGCGGAGGCGGCGCGGGAGGAGCGGAGCCGGGCGCGCGTCGAGAGCGCCCTGGCCGGGCTGCGCGCCGAGCTGGTGAGCCCGCTGGCGGCCGGCTCTCGGGGCCGCCTCTCCTTCGTCCTCTCCCGGGGCCCCCGGCCGCGGGCCGCGCACGCGCCCCACCGAGGGCTTGGGAGGCCGAGCGCCGCTTTTCCCAGGGAGAGGGTGAGGCCGTGCCGCGTGGGCGAGCTGGGCACCGGCCGTCGATCTTCCCCGACCGTGCCGATGCTCCTGCCTCCCAGGCAGCATCCAGGAGGGAAGCGGGGGAGGGGAGGGGTCCGGCAGGGCCCGAGGTGCTGGCTGGCTGTCGAGGGCTGAGTCTACTAGTGACACACCCGAGACCTCCGTCACCACCCCTCCCCAACTTGTTCTATATTTTTCTACCGCATAGAAAGTTCCCTCTAGGGAACTCATAGTACGTGCATGTTATGGGGCTCGGAGGCGGAAGTTTCAATGAAATGAAATCACAGGATGGATGGAGCGAGTCCATCAGCAACTGTTTCTTTTATTCTGCAAGTTTTATCTTTCCCCTGGGTAAGAATTCAGAAAACAAAAAATGATAATAAGGTATTTTGTAAAATTGTAGCTTTTTAACATTAGGCAGGAGGAACTGTAGGTAAATATTTTAGTTACTGTTTTGTGATTTAAACAATTTCCAAGTTAGGTACAATTTGAAAGAGACAAAATGAATAAGAGCAATTTAAGCTTTAAAACGGTGCTGCCCATGAATATGTGTAGTGGAGATTTGGGAAGTTCTAGTCTTTTGCATTGAATACTAATAAAATGTTAACCGCTACTTTAGAACGGATTCAACCATCAGTCAGTTGCCTGATTTAAGAACCTTGACAGTTTATCTTGTTTCTGAGTTTAAGAAGGGCAAGAAGGTAGTCAATTTAATTTTACCTGTGTTAACAATTTGAATTTGACAAGGTATGTATTAATTCTGACCCAGCCATATCGGAGAAACACATGGTTTTCTTCAGATACCTGAGCAGTGGCTGGGCGAGACCCCTCATTAGTAGAGATGGCCTGGAGGGGGGTGCTATGGATAAGGATGCCCACTAGAAGGCTGAGACCGGGCTTAGTCACCCTGTGCTGCTGACCTGGGGTGTCACCATCCCTCCCATACCTCAGCTGAATCTTTTTTTTTTTTTTTTTTTT